GGCTTAGTTCCGCCTACCGGTATAATAAGCTGACCAGCTGCAGTGAACGAGTCGTCGCCAAAGATTTTCTGGAAGAACCACCCGTTGTCAACCCCTGGTTGAGGCTTGACGTTCTTTGCAAGACAGGTTATTCCTGAGAAAAGGTGAGAAGATAGTACCCAAAGTAAAATGCACAACTAACGTTTATCTATAGGTTTCTTGGTCTTCCATTCAAGTACGATGCCGATGGGAGACGTATCCTTGTCCCAGTCTTCCTCGGGGTTCTTAGGAGGAGCAGGGTCGACGGTTTCACTTCTCCCGCGTTTCCGCTTTGTCCGATGCTTTTGAAGAGATTTCTTCGGCTCCTCGGGGATGCGAAGAATCTCCTTAACATGCGGTACAAGGATACCGCCCTGTGCAGGGCGCTCATACACATACTTCTCGTTTCGCCACCATTCAAGTGGTCTGATGCGTTTGCGCTGACTATGGCGCACACCTGAGGATAGATAAGAGGATACTCAAGTCAAAATAATACCAGCATACCTTCAACGTGAGTTCTATTTTGTTTGTCTTGCCCTCCTCGTCTCGCCTTTTCTTTCCCCTTGTCCAATTTAGCCTTCTTAGCTGGAACTAGCAGCTCCTCCTCCTCCTGTTCATCTTCATCAGCAGGTCCCTCTGATGGTTCATCTTGTTCACTGATAGACTTTTTCCCCTTTTGCGTTGAAGATGGTACAGGTGGCTCATCCGCGATATCGTCCGGTTCATCATCGTCCATGGCATTCTGATCTGGTTTGGAGCCCATATCCAGCAACGTATCCTCGTAGCCACTCGTTCGATGTGTATTGAAGATATCGAACTGGTTGGCAGGGTTTCGTGCCATCGGTCGAGAGATGGTAAGTCGGAGACGCCTGCTGAGCGAAAGCTCCATGTGGTTCGCAGCCATCGCGATTGGCGTTATGAATGATAAATTCGAGCGGATCCACTCCGTAAGGCATATGAGTTTGGGTGGGCCACGTCGTGCACCGAGGATCCTTTGTCGAGGTCGAGCTTCTGGCAATAGCGTTGGAAGAAAGTGCAGACGCACTTGTGACTTTCGAAATTCACAAAGTCCGAGGACTTGATTTGATTCGGTCCGAAATTACTAGATGTAGCGCATCTCAGAACAAAAATTTCGATTTTTTCAGATTTCATAGGGCACTGGCGAGAGTCGAACTCACAGCTAGGCTATGACACGGTTGAAAGGATCGAAATCTGAAGCCTAAGGTTAACCATTACCCCACAGCGCCATATTTAACAAGTATTTGTGCGTAACCATCTTCCACAAATAACTGACAAGTACTTATAGCTTGCGTATCAAATTCTAACTTCCCGACCCATTTGCAATGCTCTGCCCCGGCCCCATTATTACCCTGCCTTCCCCGCCTGGTTCG